TGTTAACTCAAGTGGCTAAGGCACCAGCCACATACACCAGAGCTGGTGGGTTCAAATCCAGCCCGGGCCCGTCAAACAACGAAGACAACTACAACCAAAAAATAGCCAGGCGTTGTGGCTGATGGCTGTAATCCCAGGGCGACATAGTGAGACTCTGTCTCAAAAAAAAAAAAAAAAAGAATGATCTTAAAATCCGAAGGACACAAGTTCCCATTTCACATGGACTAGGACTGATCAGAAAATTGGACTATGTGGGCAGGAAGGAAGCCTCATATTCTGTGGCTCTTATATTTATGTATTTAAGTTTTCCCAAGTGAATACTCTGAGTGCATATACTGAGTAATTTACTGTATAACAAATTTGTGAACTTAATATAATAGTGGATTCATATTATCTCATTTAACCCCTGAGTTTCAAATAAAGAATAATATCAGTTGGGAGGAATAGTTAATGTCCTTATCTCCTATTTATATCTACATGGAAGTAAGACCAAGATCTACTTTTTCTAATGCACAGGGATAGGATAAAGTGTTGTAGTTAAAAACTTGGATGCTGGAGTCAGACTGCATTGTTTTAAAGCCTGGCTCCACCAATTATTAGCTTCATAACCCTGGCAAGTTATTTATCCTCTTTGTGCCTAGGTTTCTCTCTCTGAAAACTGGGAATGATAAATAATGGTAGTTATCACCTAGATCTTGAGGATTAAGAATGAACAAATGTAAAGCACTTAAAACAAAGAAAATCACCTAGTAAGAACTATGTGTTAACTGTTCTTAACAGAATGACTTCAATCCTTTAAAAGGAACAAATGACTCAAGATGCTTTCAGAAAACAATGAGAGACCAAGCTGACTTTAAGCCTTCTCAAACAAAGGAAGAATTTTAAAAAATGTTTCTATCACCTTTCATTTTCCAGCTTTCCCTTTGAATTCAGAAGTTCTTAACTGGAAAGGTATAGAATCCTCATCTTAGGGAGAAATAGTTGAGGTAAGATAGTTTCTCTACCATGTTTGTGACTTGTCATTATCACCAGCTGCTGCACTTTTTTCAGGCTGGACGACAACTGGAAGCTGAGCAGGCCTACAAGTATACAATAAAGGTATGACGCAGATGCTGCTATCGTTTGTGTGCACCACACTCAGATTGGGAAACTGGGAGGAAGGTACTGACTTAATTCAGGACTTCAGAGCATTTCATGATGTGAATATTTTTCTTTAGGATTTTCATACCATCTTTGCCATTATTATGGAGTTTCTGGGTTTGTAATAATAACCTATTATCATGGGTGATCTTGCTTCCAACCCTTTAGAGAAGCTATGGTTTGAAGAGTCAGTTGATCTGAATTATTTTGCTATCAGCTTACTGTGTTGGGCCAGGCATGGTGTCTCACACCTGTAATCCTAGCACTTCAGGAGGTTAAGTGGGTGGATCACCTGAACAGTTCGACTGCCTGAGCAAGAAGGAGGCCCGTCTCTACTAAAAATAGAAAAAAAAACCTAGCTAGGGATTGTGCTGGGTGCCTGTAAGTCCCAGCTACTCAGGAGGCTGAGGCAAGAGAATTGCCTAAGCCCAAGAGTTTGAGGTTGCTGTGAACTATGATGCCATGGTATTCTACCCAGGGTGATAAGAGTGAGACTCTATCTCAAAAATGATAACAACAAAACATAGTGTGTTAACCTTTCTGGGCTTAATTTTCCTCATGTGTAAAATGTAGGGGTTGGTTTAGTCCATGGGTTAGCTATATTTTTCTTTAAAGGCAAAATGGGAAATTGTTTAGGGTTTGTAGGCCAAAGTCTTTGTTAGCAATACTAAACTCTGAATTTTTAAGTGCAAAAGCAGGCAGAAATGACATATAAATGAATGGCTATGTTCCAATACAACTTTACTTACAAAAACAGGTGGTAGGTAGCATTTGGCTCAAGAATAATCTCTGGTTTATTCTATTAGTTATGAATTGCAAGTAATTTGGGAAGACAGTGACTTAATTTTTTTTCTCTTCTAAAGAAAGGTCTAGGGTGGTACCAGAACTCCACAAGGACACAAGGGACCCAATATCTATCTTTTTGCTCCATCAATTGTATCATGCAGTTTCCATCCCCCACAGTTGCAAAATAGCTTGAGTAGCTCCACCTACCAAATCCATGTTTCAGGAAAAATAAAAGGAAAAGGGGGCCATGTTACAGCTATTTCACTTCTTTTTTTTTTTGGATTTCAGCTCTGTGCCCAGGCATAAGAGACAAAGGCACTCATTTCTCTTTAAAGGCCTTTTCCCAGGTATCTCACCCAATGACTTTAGTTTAACATTTCATTGGGCCACAATTGGTCATATGACTACTTCTAGCTGCAAGGGAAGCAGCAAAATGTAGCTTTTTAACTGATTGTGTTGCTGCCTTGAAAAGAAATCAAGATTTTGTTAGTAAGAGAAATGGGTATTCAGTAAGCTACTCTTTGTTTCTACTACACATCTAGATTCTAAAAACAAATTCAGATCTAATATAAGCCTATGATTCCTGGGTCTCTGATTACTTGCTGTCACTGCCAAATGAGAATACTATACACTAGCCCAGGGATGTACTTAGTAATATGAATACTTTAAAAAATAAACTTTCAGGGTGGCACCTGTGGCTCAAAGGAGTAGAGCGCCGGAGGTGGCGGGTTCAAACCCAGCCCTGGCCAAAAACTGCAAAAAAAAAAGAAAAAGAAAAAAATAAAATAAACTTTCATAAAGTTATTTTATTAAGAAATGTAGAAATCATGAGTGTTCACATTGTTTGATGAATTCTCACAAAGGAAATATATCCATGTAACCAATGTTTTAGTGGGGTTTTCATGAAATAGAGAATATAGGAAGAACCACTCCCATCTCAAGGAACTATGTTCTTTAGCTGTGGCCCCACAAATGAGGGGTCTTCAAAGCCACATATGTAAGTCAGGTATGATGTGTCCTTCCCTTTCTTCCTATCTCATGTAGCTGAAATTGAAAAATGAGGCTCTGCTTGCAGAGATCCACACGGTACAGGAAACAGTTGGCTTTGGAAATCCATCTTTTTGACAACCTTCCAACTGAAGAATTTTCTGTGTGGGATTCTGAGCTGCTTTCCTTCCCAGATAAAGTTTCACCATATGAAGACTGGAGCTGTAGAACAAAAGAATCTTCACCATAAACAGAAATTCATTCATTTATTTCCATGGCTATTTTATTACATGTTTTCCTGGTTGACCATAAAGTAAATTACAATAAAAAAATGGAAATAAGAGACTGAAAATTTATCAGTGTGGTTCTGGAGTTTATATATACAGAGTTATAATTACTGTATATTGAGTATTACAATTCTTTTTTTTTTGAGACAGAGCCTCAAACTGTCACCCTGAGTAGAGTACCATGGCATCACAGCTCACAGCAACCTTAAATTCCTGGGCTCAAGCAAGTCTCTGGCCTCTGCCTCTCGAGTAGCTGGGACTACAGGCACCCACCACAATGCCTGGCTATTTTTTTTTTTTTTTTTTTTTTGGTTGCAGCCATCATTGGCAGGCTGGGGCTGGATTTGAACCTGGCTGTTAGATGTATGTGGCTGGCACCTTAGCTGCATGAGCCACAGAAGCCAAGTCGAGTATTACAATTTTAATACAGTTTTTTCTTTTCTTAAATTGTGTATACATTTTTTTGCACCCTCTGTAGTTGTGTAACTCTCTCTATATATATATACATATAAAAACAATGACAGACTTGGCACCAGCCACATACACTGAGATGCGCGGGTTTGAACCTGGCCAGGGCCAGGTAAACACCAATGACAACTGTAACAAAAAATTAACCGGCCGTTGTGGTGGGCTCCTGTAGTCCCAGCTACTTGGGAGGCTGAGGCAAGAGACTCGCTTAAGCCCAAGAGTTTGAGGTTGCTGTGAGCTGTGATGCCACAGCGCTCTACCGAGTGAGACAAAGTGAGACTGTCTAAAAGTAAAAAAACAACAAAAAACCCCCAATGATATATAGTATAGATACTATATATATTGGGGTCATTATCATGGTGTCTGAGAAAAGCTTATCAGACCACTCCTGGAAGTCAGCTGCTAAGATCCCGGTACACTTAACTGAAACTTGGGAATGAAGGCATCATTTTCAAAGGCGGGCCTAGAGGAAGAATGCTAGGCTTGGTCACTGTATCAGGGCAAAGAGCATTCTGGCTGTGGCCAGGCGCTTTGTAACCAACGGCGAACAAAAATGCTGAACAGAGAGGTCTAAGTATTGACTCCCTCTGACCGACCACAAGTCTCTCCGGTCTCCTCATGGAAGTTTACCACAAGGGCTCCATCAAGGTATCACTAGCCTATAACAGATGGAAAACGTTTCACCACTGAGGCTATAGTCTAGGTCTAGATATAACATCTTACTTCGCTCCTTCGCTCCTGGATCACAGCACGGCAAAAGCAGGAATAAACTTCTCCCTCCTTTATTTTTTAAAGTACGTATACTTCTTGGGAGAACAGGTGGGACGGCGAGAGGCAAATTAGTTAATAGAGAAGGATAAACTCTACACATTTATCCTCGTAATCCTTCTGTCTCAGCCCTAACTCTACCTTCTTTGTGAAGTCTTCCCGAGGAAAAATCGGGTTTGCCTTCTGGGCTCCCCCCGCACCGTGTATAGACCACCCTAGTTTTTCTGGTCTAACCTCCCGTGCTCCCTCAAGACCATGAGAACCGTCTGGGCAGGGACAGCGCCTCGGCCCTAACAGGTGCTCAAAAAACGCCTGCAGGATGTATGGATTTGAAGGGTATTCATCACTTCTCTTAACGCGCCCTGCCTTCCGCCACCACGCCTCACTCCAGCAGAACCCAAACCAGCAAGCGGCAGCACCGCCGCTCCGCAACTCACCCACGGAAACACGCCCCTTTCGCAGCAGTTTAAGGCACGTTAGCGTTTCCGGCGTTGCACTACGGGAAGTGGAGGGGCGGGAGCGGAAGCGGAAGCGGCGGGGCAAGCGTACCGTACACTTCCGGAACGGGATTTTGGGGGCTGGGGTAACCCGCGCCCGAGTCTCGCAGAGGTCTATGTTGACCGGCTGGGTTGGGAGCGGGTGTCCTAACCTTGCCGCAGCTGTAGGGCTGCTCCGGGCGGGCAGCGGGACATTCCGAGGAGCCGCACGCCGGCCGCGCCATGGTTCACCTCAGTAAGTCATCAGGACCCCTCGAGAATTTCCTGGCGTTTGTGGGGACTTGGAGATTCGGACCCAGGGGAGCCGCGCTCTCCAGGCGTGCTGGAGGCAGCTGAGCCCGAAACAGCCACACTGTCGTGCTTTGATCTTTCGCTTAGTTTTTTTCCTACTTAATCCTCGCTGAAATTCCCATCTCATTTTACAGATGAGAAACTAATAAGTAGGACAGAAGGTCACAACTAGTAAACGGCAGGTCCAAGCGGAGTGGGTTCGGGGTTGAGGTCGTTTCTGCCAGGAGTGGTTAAGAGGAGTTTCACAAGAAGGTGCTATTCAAGCCAGATGGACAAGAATAGGTTGGAAATATTTCCATGGAAAAAAGGAATTGTTATGGGGCGGCGCCTGTGGCTTAAGGAGTGTGGCGCCGGCCCCATATACCGGAGGTGGTGGGTTCAAACCCAGCCCCGGCCAAAAACTGAAAAAAAAAAAAAAAAGGAATTGTTATGTCTACTTCATTTTACCCATTTTGTGACCTCATTTCTTGTGCAGTAACCAACTATTTCTCTACAGCTACCCTGTTCTGCAAGGCCTACCATGGGGGCCACTTAACCATCCGGCTTGCCCTGGGTGGCTGCACTAACCGGCCCTTCTACCGCATTGTGGCTGCTCACAACAAGTGTCCCAGAGATGGCCGTTTTGTAGAGCAATTGGGTTCCTATGATCCACTGCCTAACGTCCATGGAGAAAAACTCGTTGCCCTCAACCTGGACAGGATCCGGCATTGGATTGGCTGCGGAGCCCACCTCTCTAAGCCTGTGGAAAAGCTTCTGGGTAACTCTTCTCTGGTCTTACTTGAGGGGATTTTAAACTGAAATCAACCCCAGAATCATGAGAACGAAAAATGATTTTTATTCCTTCTAGGCTGCTGAGGGCTTGAATGAGAGCTGAAGTTGTGATCTGTCATTTTGAATGTGGAGTTCTTTAGTGGACTCCTTTGTGAGACTTTTTGGGTGTCTAGTGTTTTATTCTAAAAATGGGAATAGTGTGTTAATTGCAATCTGTCATTTTAACTTTTTTCTTTTTTTTTTTTTGAGACAGTCTCAAGCTATTGCCCTGGGCAGAGTGCCGTTGTGTCACAGCAACCTCCAACTCTTGGGCTCAAGTGATCCTTTTGCCTCAGTTTTTCTATTTTTAGTAGAGACGGGGTAGGGGGGATGTCTTACTTTTTTGCTCAGGCTGCTTTTGAACCTGTGAGCTCAAGCTATGCACCCACCTTGGCTTCCCAGAGTGCTAGGATTCTATCACTGCACCAGGGGTCAGTTTAACTTTTTTTTTTTGAGACGGAGCCTCAAGCTATCCCCCTGGGTAGAATGCCATGGCATCACGCTCACAGCAACTTCCAACTTCTGGGCTCAAGCGAGTCTCCTGCCTCAGCCTCCCAAGTAGCTGGGA